CGGCTCTGCCCTCCCTCCCTCACCCCTCTGGGAATATTCAAAGAAGTGAAACTCACATCCTGATTTTTCATATTCTGTTACTCGGCAAGGTAGTTAACACGCGTTCTCTCAACTAACCCCAGGCATCTGTTCTCCAGGCACTGGGCCCTATCCGTGGGATGGGGAATGACTAAGGCACCGTTCCCTCTGCTGGAGTTCAGGCTGGCACAAGAACCAGACGTGGGCATCACCTGCCAGCAGACCCCATAAACACCATCACGGTCACCAGAGCGGAAAGAGAAGCCCCAGGAGCCCAGGGCAGGGCAGGGAGGGGACCAGGGAGGCCTCACCAAAGTGGAATTGTCCCTGGGGCTGGGGGGCAGGGGTGTTTTACCAGGCAGAGGAGCAGAAACAGCTCATTCCAGACAAGCAGCAGCACAAGCAAAGGTGAAGGAATGTGAAAGAGCAAGGCTGTCTAGGAGACCATTGGAATCTAGCAGGCAGAGGGCTAGACAGGTACAATGAGCCAGGAACAGCGGGAATGTGGTTGAAGAAAGTGGATTGAAAGGCAAATAGCAAGAACAGGGGGAAGATAAACAAACTGTGATACCGCTCACAAAGGAAGAGCACCACTCAACAGGAAAAGGGAACAAATGGCCAAGATGCCTAACACTACACAGAAATGTCAAAAACGTGATACTGAGTGAAAGAAACCAGACACAAAGAGAACACACTGTTTGATGCCATTTATATGAATGGCGAGGGACAGGGAGGCCTGGCGCGCTGCAGTCCGTGGGGCTGCAAAAAGTCAGATACGACTTAGCAACTGAACAACAACAGTATGAATGGCAAAACTAAAATAAAATAGGCAAAACTAATCGATGGAGATTAGATCAGCGCTGGCCTGGGGCCAGATGAACCGAAAAGGAGCAAGAGGGAACTTGCTGGGGTGGTGGAAATGTTCTGAATCTAGACTGTGGGGGTGACTACATATTTGTCAAAATGCATTCTGTTGTATATTTTAAATGGGCAGATTTTTGTGTTTAAATTCTTCTATAAAGTTTTTACAGGTTTTTCTTTTTCTTTTTTTTAAAGTAGGTTGAATTCAAATTGTGAAGGACTTTAGACATCATGCTAAGAAGATTGGACTTTATCCAGGAAGTAATGGGAAGTTTTTCAGTTTTCTTTGGTTTGGTTCATTAGTCGCTCAGTCGTGTCGGACTCTTAGTGTCCCCATGGACTGTAGTCCACCAAGCTTTTCTGTTTATGGAATTCTCCAGGCAAGAATACTGGAGTGGGTTGCTATTTCCTTCTCCAGGGGATCAGATCTTCCCAACCCAGGTATCCAGGACTGCAGGCAGATTCTTTACCATCTGAGCCACCAGGGAAGACTTTGGTTGCAAGCAAAAGTCCAACTCAAGCCAGTTTAAGCAAAAGAGGGAATTTCTCTGAAGGGTATGGGGGCAACTCACAGAATTCTAGGCAGATTTTCAGCTTAACGCCTGAGGAGCTTCCTCTCAGCTTTGCCTCCCAATAACCCCATGACCTAGCTATGTGCACCGGCAATAGCTGAGGACATCGTGCTCAGAGAAGCAAAGTGACTTGTCCAGGAACATACAGTCAGCAGGCTGCATAGCAAACTTGAAGCCCAGGTCAGTCTGATGCTGATGCCTGTGTCCTGCCTGGAGGAGCAGGGAAGCAATCACTCGAAAAGGCCCCTGGGAGAAACAGCCAAGCAGATGGAAGGAGCCTGGGAAGGGGAGGGGAATGTGACCAGCACCCCCACAGGAGTTAGGAGCAGTAGACAGGTGAAGGAACTGGGAGGCAATGGAGCGGGACTCAGGACAGCAGATGGTTGGAGGCCGGAGGGAAAGTAGGCATGCACCTGGCTAGGGGCAGCTTTCCAAGAAGATGGGCTGCTCCTCCAGATCCAATTAGGTAGGTCTCAGAACTTCTCTGTTTCCTCACATGCGAAAGCAGTTAACAACACCTGCATGGATCATCAAAATGATAGCTGCTGTACCAGAATGCTCCTCCTGGTACCCGGCACTGATCAGCTACAGTGATTATCAGTATGCAACTCTATACTCACAGAGTTACTGTTAGTGACAACAATACAGAGTTCTTTAGGCCTCCTCCCCCAACCTGCTCACCCCATCGAGCATCTTCTCTTATCCTGGCTCAGGAAGGAGGGGAGCCGAGCACCAGCCCTCGAGCAGCAGAGCACCAAGCACCAGAACTTGAGGGTTCCTGGAATGAACTGAACCCAGAAGAGTGAGGGACTGAAGCCCTGGGTGCCCGAGGAGGAGCCCAGGGGTTTGTAAGGGCAGCCTGGGTTCTCACAGCCAGCACTGCAAGAGGACACATATTGGAGATCTTTTGGAGACGGGGTATCAGAGCTAGGCTTGTGCATGCATGCTAAGTCACTTCAGTCGTGTCCAACTCTTTGTGACCCCATGGACTGCAGCCCGCCAAGCCCCTCTGTCCATGGGATTCTCCAGGCAAGAATATTGGAGTGGGTGGCAATGCCCTCCTCCAGGGGATCTCCCCAACCCAGGGATTGAAGCTGTGCCCCTTATGTCTCCTGCATCAGCAGGCAGGTTCTTTACCACTAGTGCCACCTGGGAAGCCCTGGGCTTGCGCCTAAGTGGAAGAAACAATAACCTGTTTGTTGGGATTTGAGGTACACTGGCTCCTAGATCTCTCCTCTCACCTGTACTGTGGAATCTTATCATAGGAATCTCATTTCTTCTCCTGGAGATCCTTGGCTCCATGGAAATGTAGCCCTGGTCTCACTTGGCTACTGAGCCACCCCATAAATTTCTATTATGTTGACACTGAGTTTCTCACCACTTCCCCTGAGGGAGAAAGGCAGATGGAGGTGGGCCGAGGGGGGAGCATATCTCGGAGTGGGGGGCCTCACACTGGCTAGTCGCTTATTTGTGCCAGGAGTTCTCCAAGGCCTTCAGCTGCATCATTGGACTCAGTTCTCACAACAGCTCTGTGCTGCAGGTGTGGCCAGCGCCATCGCACAGACAGGCTGCAGAGGCTCCGAGGAAATAATGTCCTTTGATCACGGTCACATGGCCAGGAAGTAGTGAAGTCCGGATTCCTACCCAGAAGCCCCTGTTCTTCCTACTGTGTCCCTTCTGGGGATAGGGTGGGCATGAAAAAGCATCAGCCTATATTTCACAACCTTACCCCAGAAAAGTGGCAATGCTGAGCAGTTGGAGAGGTCCTGACAGGTCCAGACAGCCAAAACTCTGTGACCTGAGGCAACCCAAGGCCTGAGTTCCTCCTTCAAGCAGGCAGCCAAGACCCACCACCCTTCCGAAGGCTCTGCGGAGCATACAGCAGGGGCTCCAAAGTGGCTGAGCAGGCCAGAAAATCCTCCAGGATGAGCAGAGAGGTCTGCGATCCTGAAGGCAGAAACCCCAGCTTCACTGCCACCCACCCTCCCCCCAGGCCAGAGGCCCAGAAGCCAGAAGCAGGGGCGCTGAGGCCTCACAGTAGCCCTGCGGGGAGGGGAGGCACCCTGGAGGCTGCTGGAAGGTAAGGGGCACCTGGCCTCTCAACGTAGCTTCCCTCCTGTGCTCAGCCGCTCAGTCGTGTCTGACTGCGGCCGCAGGGACTGCAGCCCACCAGGCTCCTCTGTCCTTGGGGATTCTCCAGGCAAGAATACTGGAGTGGGTTGCCATGCCCTCCTCCATGGGATCTTCCCAACCCAGGGATCGAACCCAGGTCTCCCGCATTGCAGGCTGATTCTTTACCATCTGAGCCACCAGGAAAGCCCTCCTATCCCTGAAAATAGCCTCTGGGAAAAGCACTGCCCCCTTTCAACCCCAGAGACAGTTCCTCCCTGGGATCTGTAGGTGTGGAGCAAAACTACCTTACTCCCCAGGGCCTCTGCCTCTGCCACCCACACCTCTGGGCCTCTGGCAGGGACTGTGCCCTGCTCAGGACAGCTGGCAGCCCATGTGCTTCCACCCCCACCCTCTCCCTGTTCCCAACTCTCAGGTTATGACACAGGGCAGGAGGAGGGTGGAGCCTTAGAGGGAAAGAGGGCATGGATGCCGAGGAATATAAAGAGCCAGGCAGGTCCTGGGCAGAGATCCTTCTGCTGTGCCGCTCTGGACCTGCCCAGCACCATGGTAATGCCCGGTGGTCCCTGTCAGCTGTGCTCTCCTGGAGCTTGGGATAGAGACTGGCACCCAGAGGCCCTCCTCAAGCCATTGAGGGCATGAAGGAGTGAGGCCAGGGCAGCCCGCTCTGCCAGGACAGCTGCCAGGGCTGCCTGTCCTTGCTTTGGGTGGTGGGGAGGGGAGTTCCTGGCCAAGAAAGGGTTAACGGTCTCACAGGCTCCAGCCACAAGCAGCATGTATATGGGCATCATAGTGTGTCGATCCCTGGATGTGTCTGAGTATTGCCAGCACAAAATTCTCTGCGTGTGATGGGTGTGCATGGGGACTCTTGGACTATCATCCCTGTATGCAACTGTGTTAAGTCTTTCATTTAACATGTACTACTGAGCACCCGGGATTCCCTGGTGGCTCAGATGGTAAAGAATACGCCTGCAGTGCAGGAGACCCCGGTTCAATCCTTGGGTGGGGAAGATCCCCTGGAACAGGAAAAGGCAATCCACAACAGTATTCTTGCCTGGAGAATCCCATGGGACACCTACTAAGTGTCAGGCACTGTTCTAGGTGCTTGTGATACATCAGTAAACAAAACAGGCAAAGGGCCCAGCTGCCCATCCCCTTAGCTGCCAGGTGCTTACACTGGTGGAGGGGTTACCACTGGGGATTTACTCATTAAAAAAAAAAAAAAGCATAGAATACAGTAAGTTAGAAGTTGCAAGAGAGGGAGACTAGAACAAGATGAAGAGATGAGTTGCAATGTTAAATAGGGTCATCCGAGTAGGGTCCATTTAGAAGGCGAATTTTGAGATGATTTTTGAATTTTGAGATGGAGAGAGGAAGTTGGTCATATGGATACCCGGAGGAAGCCTCCGGGCAGAGTGAATGGCATGTCTGACACTTTTGAGCAACAGCGAGGAGGCCGGAGACCCAGGAGAGAGGCGAAAAGGAGTTGCAGAAGTCAGTGAGGTCACGGAGCTGGCCTGTACCATCCCGATGTGTCCATCTCAGGGTGTACCTCCCAGTCCATCGCCAGGGTCCCCGTGTACCTGGTGCTTTATGTCCATCACTGTGCGTGGCCAGATGTGCACCATTCGGCCTGGGTACCTGGAAGTCCCTTACGGCACTCGTGTATCTGTCCACGGCCCACGTCTCGGGGGTCTGGATGTCACGTGACCGTCCTCCTCTGTCTGCCCCGCCCCCTCTAGCCCACGGCTCTGCGCTGCGCGTGCGCACTCGCCCTGGTGTGTATCGTGGTGCTTCTGGGACCGGACGAGGCCGTGGGGGAGGAGCTGCAAGGACAACAGCGTCTGATGCCCCGGGTCGCCCGTTGGCTGTCCAACTTAGGTCAATTCAACAAGTACATGGAGAAGCTCTTCAATAGCAGGTGGGCAGGGGGGAACGGAAGGGGATGGGAGGAAACGGACGCCACCTGCCCCCACTGCCCCACCCCACCCGGCTCCCTGCTCAACGCAGTCGGGAACTGGGCTCGCAGAGCAGCCCCATGGCCTCTGAAAAGACGTGTTCCTCAGCATGAAGTCTAAGAAAACCAAGAACTCCAATGACGCGAACAACCCCAAGAATAGTACGAAACCCCTATCAGCGAACGCGACGAAACCTCTGCCAGCGAACGAGACGAAACTCCCCGGACGGAAAACCACGAACCCCCCACCGCGGAACGCCGCGAAACCCCAACCACCAGCCTCCTCCCAGGGCCCCAGGTAGGAGAGCCTGGGCCCGGCTGGCCCCAGTCGGGGTCCTCGGAACTGGGGGTAGGTTGGGCGGGAGCGAAAGGAAGCCCTGGAGGCTGGAGGGACCCAGGGGATTCGCGGGGACTGCCTTCTCCAGGCTGGGCTTTGACTTCCGAAGCCCAACTCAAGTCTCCCCGCCCACCGACCCTCCTTATATTATGAGAGGGGTCCTAACTCCTACCCAACCCGCCCTTAGTGAGAACAATAAAGAGAAACGGAATCTCTGTTGCTTCCTTGACTTCTGTGAGCCCTGGGCGGGAAGGGACCTGTCCTTGGAGGGGAAAGAGAGGTTCCTGGAGGTCCTACCGTAGGAAGGAAAGACCTGGGTTTAGGGGTCTTCCCTGCCTCCTTCGGGCAACCCATCCACCTTTCCCCACCCCAGGCACTGACACTACTTTGGGGTGGGGGAGGCGGCTGTGGAGGCTCTAACCAGGAGGGTTTGATTTTAAACGCGATTGCACTGCTCCTGCCGTCTTGCTGCGGCTTCTCCTTTGCCTTTGGACATGGGGTATCTGATGCTAGGAAAGATCGCAGGCAGGAGGAGTAGGAGACAACAGAGGCTGAGATGTTTGGATGGCATCACCAATTCAATGGACACGAGTTTGAGCAAACTCCAGGAGATAGTGAAGGACAGGGAAGCCTGGCAGTGCTGCAGTCCATGGGGTCACAAAGAATTGGACACAACTGAGCAACTGAACAGCAACCAAGAGGGAGAGCATAGGTGAGAGAAGTGGATCCCAGCAACCTCAGACGAGGGGCTCCAGCCAGATTTAACACCTGCCCCCCCCCAAGTTTCTACACCCAGCAGTGCAGCTGTGATGCCAGCCTGCAAACAAACTACCCACCCACCGCACCCCCCACAGTGTGCAGAGCATAAGTCCTGCCTTGGCTCCGGGGATCATCTCGGCCCCTCTGGCTGTGAGCAGAGCAAGAGGAGAGCAGGAGCTTATCTAAGCCCGTCCCTAAGAAGCTGTCTCCTCTGGGGGCTGGGGGCCATCAGAGAGGCCGGGGCAGGGGCAGAGGCCCCATCCTCATCCAACTCTCACACAGGGATCTTCTGCGTAGAGTCCTGATTCCTGCCTCTGGGAAGTATCTACACCTCTCCCCACTCAGAACCCATCCTCTTAGCTGCCAGAGAAAATTCTGGGACTTCCGGCTCCATCATCCAAACTGTTCTTCTGCTGAAACCAGCCTCCCTCCTAGACGCCCCCTTGCCTGAGCCATGCACTTGCCCAGTGTGGCATCCTTGCCAGCCCTTTGACTTTTAGGGCCTAGGTCCACTTTGGAGTCGTTTGCACAGCCAGAACTTGAGGGAAACCACGACTCTGTGTCATTCATACGTTCAGTATGAGGTGCTGAGCCCAGGAAAGTGGATCCCCTCATTCCCCAAACCCACAGGCCTCATCCCTTCAGGCAGAGCATGTGAGGGAGGCAGGAGGAGGCATTCCAGGAACCAAAAAGGTTTGCATTCTCACTTCTCCCTCCCAGCCCCACCATGACTATCCCTTACCCACAGGTGCTCCCAGGCCAGGAAAAGAGGAGAGAGATGAGATCGCTCCCTCTCAGTCACACATAGACACACATCCCACCCCCCCTTATTCAAGATGCCTGAGAAGAGGGAGGACTGGCAAAGGTCACTAAGACCCCTCCCCGGCCCAGGCCTCCCAGGCAGGGTCCGGCTTCTCGCCCTCCCTGAACTGGAGTATGCAGACCACAGATGGTCTCCTGGAGGTGGCCATCTCTCAGCTAATCCAACCTCCTCCCTATAATGTCAGCTTCCTCCTGCAGCCTCCCCTTCTGCGACTTGACTTGAGTAACCCTTAAACACCCCGGAGTTCACTGCCTCTCAGGGCAAGTTCTTCCCAGCTTTCTGGTTCTTCAGTGATGCTTCCTTACAGTCAAGGAAAGTCTGCCTTCTGGAGCCCCTTTCGGGAGGCACACGGAGTTAACCCTAACCTCTTCCATAAGCTGAAGCTGCATTTGTTTGAAGACCAGTCACCCCTCTGTTCATGTCCTTCTGCCACACTTCATGGAAACAGCTGCTTGGCTGCAAGTCTGCCCCTCAGAAGCTCTGGTCTGCTGAGAGCTTTCCTGGGTTAAGGGCTATGCTAAAAACTTCACATGCATCATTTCACGTCGTGCTCACTGCAACGCTATCATTCTTCCCATTTTACAGATGAGGAATCTGAGGCTCAGAGAGGTTATGGTGCACACGGAGGGATATGGCCGATCCGGGATTCAAACCCAGGTTCATCTGACTCAAGTCGATGCTGTGTCCCTGTATTGGATTACCATCTGCTGCCGGGCCTTGGACCAAATGCTGAACCTCTCTGAGCCTCGGTTTCCTCCTCTGTAGAGTGAGGATAACAGTATCTCTCCCCTCACAGAGTTGTTGAGAGGGTTAAATACCCCTGGCACACAGAAGCTCATTTTCCCAACAATTTCATGTGACACTATCTCCAGACTCCTCCCCATCTCTCTCCCCCTCTTCTGGCTATGCTTCTGCTGTGTGCTGTGCCTGTTGAGGGGCCACACTTCAGCCCATCATGCAGTAAGCCGCCTCTCACCGCCCCAAAGAGGGCAACTCCAATGCCACCGATGTAAACCATGACTGTCTTAACCCCAGTCGTTCCTCTGGGCTGGGCTCTCGCCTCTAGTACAAACTAGCACTTCACCTACTGCCTAGGCTATAAGAAAACATTGGTGGGGATCCATCTGGGGGCAGGGCTGCCATCAAGCCAGTGATCAGCAGGGTCTAGAGGTGCTGAAATGGGACAGCTGAAGATTCACTGCCTTGCTGAATGACCTCGGGGGATCCCCTTCTCCCCCTGGGCCACAACTTGCCCCTCTCTGAAGGGGACAGGATGAACTACATGGCCCTGATGACCCTCCGGACATTCTGGATCAGTCATAACACCCTCGGTTCCCTTCTGTCTGCCTGTCCCTTTCTTCCTGTGCATTTTGCCTGCTCCTGTCCCAACCAGGGGTCTGCAGAGACACAGAGAGAGTGAGGCTAAGAACTTTGATGTGCTTTATTTAGCCAGTATGGGAGCAGGGAGCAAGCTACAGCCAGAGCCAAGGGTGCAGACGGGAGACCTGGGCCGGCCTCGCCCTGGAGTTGGAGGAGCAGGAAGTGGCGTTATGAGTCCATTGTACCGATCTCCCTGCAAGAAGAGGGCAAAACACGGCAGTGTGAGTGGGTAGTCCTTGTGCCCTCAGGAGACCTCAGGCCAGCCCTGGGTGCCTGTTCTCTCCCATCCTACACACCCCCACTTCCTGCCCCAGGCATTTGGGCACAGAGGACAGAGAGTAAAACCCACCTGGGGACTGCTGAGTGGGGAGACCCACACTCCAAGAAGTCCAGCGTGCCTTCTTTGCTTCTTTTCCCATACCTGGGAGGGGAGAGACAGGTGGGGCCAGCGCTATGCCCAGGTATCAGTTCACCTGCCTCATGCCTACCCTCGGGCACCATCCTGCCCGGGGCACAGGGGCCCGGGCCAGACCATAGAGATGCTCTGCTCCCAAAGAACGTGGAAGGGGCTGGGCCTGGGGTCTTGGCTGGGGCCTCTCTCCCCGTCTCACACTCACCTGGGCCTGGTCAGCATGTTGATGTATCTGCGGAGCTCAGCCGCATACTGGGCCATCTGCTCTGCTGTGGCATTGTCCCCCGGATACTCTGGCTCCAGCGGGGCCCCCAGGGCACCCAGGGGTGGCGGCAGCAACAGAGCCACGCACGTGGACAGGAGGAGCAGGAAGAGGCAGCGGTGCGCGGCGGCCATCTGAGAAGCCAGGATCAGGGAGATAGAGGGAGCACCGAGCCCACCCCGCCCCCCTCCCCCAGCCCATCACCCATTTCTCCAAGCCTGGAGACCAAGGGGCAGAGCAGAGAGCTACTGGGAGCTGACCACCCCACCTCCTAGACCCTGCCCTGGAGAGCTCACCAGCCCCCTCTTCAGAGAAGTACAGCAGCTGGAGCTCAGCTAGGGCCTAGGCAAGGCAGAAAAGTGTAGCAGAGAATCGGGGAGTTGGGTCTTGGCTAGGAGACCCAGGACTCCGGACACCCAGGGCCTGATGGCTCTGAAGAGGCAGCTGCGGGTGAGAGTTGGAGGGGAGGGGCTGTGGGAAATAGAGGCGCTTTAGCTCCCCTGCAGGGTGGGGGCACACAGAAGGAACTTGTGAACCAAGGGGCAGAAATCCACAACCTGTGGGTGTGCTGTCCTTCCACCCCACTTTCCCCAGCCGCTCGGCCAGGGTAGACATGCAGATGCAGGTCCTGGAGAGGACACCGCAGCCGTGTCACCGAGCAGGAGGTATGGCCACACACACAGACTTGTGTTCACAGCCCCCACCCGCTGCCCGGCGCACACCTGCAGGCTTCTAGCCAGCAGGCTGCTCTCCCAGGGTGATGGATTTGTCCAGGTGTAGAGCCAGACCCAAGCAGGATCTCAGGCCTCTGGAGGCCCCCAGCCCTACAAAGCACCACGTCCTTCTACACAACCCACCCCTGGCCCCAGAGCCAGGAGCAGGCTGAGCCCACTTACCCTGAGTCCTGAGCGAGCGGCCGCTGGACCAAATCAGTGCCTGCCTCAGGCTGAATGGAACCCACCCGTCCTTGACCCTTTTATAGTACTCAGCCCCCCGAGTCCCCGCCTCCTGTCAGCCTCTCTCCCTCCCCAGCCCTCACCCCCTCCTCCCACCATCTCCCTGGTGCCTGCAACGCCGGCACCAGGACCAGGGACAGGAAGGGGACAGGGCAGTGTTGTGCGTGTCACACTGGCAGCATAATGGGTAAACGTGGGCCACGATCAGTCTCCTGTAGGCTCCTGGAATGCCTTCGGGCACCAGAGCAGGCTTAGTTCAAGAAGGATGGGGTCCTGGGAATGCAGGATAACGGAAAGGTTCTGATTGCAGAACTCGGAACAGCCCTGCCTGTCTCCCCAGGATTAACCCAAATACTCAAGCAGATTCCCTCCGGGCAGAAGATTGAGGCTATGACTCTGAGACTCTAGGGATGAAGGCTGGAGACTTAGGACTTCCCGTGCATCTGTGATTAGAACAAGATGGAACGGGGGAGATGCCTCAGGGAATGTGGAAAGGAGTGGGGACCCAGGTAGGGAGAAACCCTCTCCCTGGGTAGCAGATAGAGGCGGAACGAGAACTGGTGTGCCTGTTCTTGTTCCTGGGTTCAAGGGAGAGGGGGCAGGGAGGCCAGTCTCTGGTAGCCATTTCCCAGTGCCTTCATTCCAGGGTAAAGATAAAGCCTTGAATTTTCTAAAGTGCTCCCAGCTCAATCACCTCAGTGAGTTCCTACAACAACCCATTTTACAGATTCAGAAACTGAGTCTCAGAGACATTAAGTAACTAGCCTCAAGCCACATAACTAGTCAGTGGAGATCCAGGGTTTGAAACAAAGTCTAACTCCAAAATCTGTGCTCTTTTTTTTTCTAAGTAAGGCTGTTAAAGTATTGCTCTAATTTCCCACTTTTTGACTAAGAAACATGAGGCTCAGAGAGGTGAAGATACTAGCCCAAGGTCACACAGCTGTCTAAGACTCAAGTTCTGACTTAGATTTCCAACCCCACCAGGGCCAGCAAATCACCCCTGCCCCACCCCCTGCCCTGGTCCCAGGAGCCCGTGAGTCTTCCCTGCTCAGCGTCCCTTCCCCCATCCCTGGCTCCCTCCCCAGCTCAGGGCTAGGAGCGTAACTGACTGTGTCCGAATGTCTCAATGAAGGCCAAGTAGTGGGCAAGGGACTTTTCACCCCTGAGGTTCTGCCATCTCAGATCACAACACCAAAAGAGTGTGTTGGGAGAGGACCAGGGACAGGGGTGGGGTGGGGTGGAGTGGGGTGGGGATGAGGACTGGAGGTGATGCTGCACAGATCTAAGCTTTGATTTTCCTCAAGGTAATGAGGATAAAGGAAGGCTCAGGAATTGCCAGAGTTCTACCTTTCTCCTCTCAATTCTGATTTCTGGCAACAAGAACAATAACGCTCCACCCAATTCTGCAAAGCAGAATGGAGATCGTTCTATCTCCAAAAGCCCTGCTGGCCCTTCTCTGGGCCTCGGGGTCCAACTTGGTAAAACAAGGCTGGTGAATTACTGGCTGGTCTCCTAGGCAGGCTGGGGCTGCCCTGGTGGCACTAGTGGTAAAGAACGCGCCTGCAAATGCAGCAGACATAAGAGATATGGCTTCGGTCCCTGGGTCATGGAGATTCCCTGGAGGAGAGCATAGCTACCCACTGCAGTATTCTTGCCTGGAGAATCCCATGTACAGGGGAGCCTGGCGGGTTACAGCTGGACACAACTCAAGTGACTTAGCACACACACCGCAGTAGGCGGGCCTCTGGTGAGGCCGGCAGGGGCTGCAGGCTGCCACCAGGGGGCGCCAGGCTCCAACCATAGTTGGAAGGGTCTGGGCTCCCACAGGACTCCAGCTGCCGTGGGACCAGTTACGGCCATTACCCAGGTCAGGTCCCAGCCCCTGCAGACACACGGTAGATCTGGAAATTGGCTCAAAGCTGAGGCCATCTATAGTAGTGTCCTGTCACAGAGGTAAACAGCTTTGTCAGTGCCTACAATAACGACAGTTACTCTACAATGTCAGCAGAACCTACAGCTTTCATTTTTCTCCTTTGCCAAGACATTCCTCTTCTGGATCCTCTCAGCGATGCTGTGACGACTGAGGAGGAGTGGGCAGTGGATGCGCTTTCTCAACCGTATGGTCACGTCCAGACTGGGCGATGCTTCTCACTCACCATCTGTTCCCAGGGCTTGCCATGGAGCTCTGCTTCGAGGAGCACCAAGGACGTACCTGCAGACAGGCTAAGTGAAAGTGGTCCCCCTCCCCTGCCCAGCCCCACGCTCTCTGGGACAGGGACGGCGGCCACTGGGCAGTGTTAGGATGGAGTGAAGGCTGCAGTAAGACCAGGAAAGGAAGACCGCAGAAACACCTGAGGTCACAGGGCGAAGGTGGTCCCCACAAACGGGACTGCAAAGGCAGGAATGCGATTAGCATTACACACCCTCTCCAAGAATTCCTCCAAAGCAGCCTGGGCCAACTCAGGCCACTGTCTTATTCTCACACTGGGTTGGCAGCAGCGAGGGAGAGGGGAAAGGAAACGGTGGCCAGCCCCAGATGCCAGGAACTCAGGGGCCCCCATTCCCTAGGGAAACCCTTGGGTTGAGGTTTATCTCTCTGTCTCACACACACACATACACACACCTGGGGTCCTTGTCCCACCCGCTCAGGACCAACTCAGGCCCAACTAAGGGCTCAGGTCATTAATTTGAAACCTGGGTTCTGTCCCCACTTCTGTCCACCATGAGGATTCCATCTGCCTCCAGGGTCCCCTGAAGGCTCAGGAGTGCTCAGTAGTCCTCCCTGCCCACAGTGCCTGCAAAAGCAAATCCTATCATTGTCAGATCAAATTTTTCCAGAAGAGGAAGGCTTCCTTCTTTCTAAGAGAAGGCTAAACCAATCCATATAATAAATTACTACAGGAGAGGGATGGTTGAATGGGGAGGAAAGAAAAACTGGGTGTGGGTCAGGTAGGGGCTCTGGGTCACATAGGGGCTGAGTGTGGAAGGAGGGGTTTTTCCCTTGGGGTGGTTGGAAGGAAACAGTGTCAGAGCCGTTTTGAGCTGGGTTAGGAGTGAGTTTTTCCCTGGTAGTTCAGCTGGTAAAGAATCTGCCTGCACTAACAAACACATGAAAAGATGCTCAACATTATTCATTATCATAGAAACACAAATCAAAACCACAATGAGGTACCATCTCACGCCGGTTAGAATGGCTACTGTCAAAAAGTCTACAAACAATAAGTGCTGAAGAGGCTGTGGAGAAAAGGGAACCCTCTTACACTGTTGGTGGGAATGCAAACTAGTACAGCCACTATGGAGAACAGTGTGGAGATTCCTTAAAAAATTGGAAACAAAACTGTCATACAACCCAGCAATCCCACTGCTGGGCATACACACCAAGGAAACCAAAATTAAAAGAGACACATTTACCCCAATGTTCATTGCAGCACAGGTTACAATTCCTAGGACATGGAAGTAACCTAGATGTACATCAGCAGAAGAATGGATAAAGAAGTTGTGGTACATATGCACAATGGAATATTACTCAGCAATAAAGAAGAACGCATTTGAGTCAATTGTAATGAGGTGGATGAAACTGAAGCTTATTATACAAAGTGAAGTAAGTCAGAAAGAGAAACATTAATACAGTATATTAACACATATATATGGAATTTAGAAAGATGGTATTGACAACCCTATAAGCAAGACAGCAAAAGAGACACAGATGTAAGGAATAGACTTTTGAACTCTGTGGGAGAAGGCAAGGGTGGGATGATTTGAGAGAATAGCATTGAAACATGTATATTACCATGTGTAGAATAGATGACCAGTGCAAGTTCCATGCATGAAGCAGGGCACTCAAAGCTGGTGCTCTGGGACAACCCAGAGGGATGGGGTGGGGAGGGAGGTGGCAGGGGGTTCAGGATGGGGGGAAACATGTACACCCGTGGCTGATTCATGTCAAGGTGTGGTAGAAACCACCACAATATTATAAAGTAATTCGTCTCCAATTAAAATAAAGAAATGAATTTAAAAGGAAACAAAAAAAGAATCTGCCTGCAATGCAGGAGACCCTGGTTCAATTCCTGGGTCAGGAAGTTCCCCTGGAGAAGGGATAGACTACCCATTCCAGTATTCTTGGGCTTACCTGGTAGTTCAGATGGTAAAGAATCTACCAGCAATGCAGGAGACCTGGG